CAAAAGGGACCACACAGGTTAGAGAAATCACCATATTCCCCCCCCCCCCCCCCCCCCTTCGGACCTCGGACCTCGGACCTCGGAGGCCCTAAGCCCTAAAACCCCTAAACCCCTAAACCCTAAACCCTAAACCCCAAACCCCAAACCCTAAACCCTAAACCCTAAAACCCTAAACCCTAGACGACCTGGGGAGGCCTGCTGGAGAACCACCCTGCGGAAGTATGCGCTCACCTCGGCGGTTTCCCAGAGCTTCCTGCAGCCCGGCGTGGTGGCAGCGTGGGTTTAGGGTTTAGGGTTTAGGGTTTAGGGTGTAGCTGCATCAAGCTGGGAATTCTTTACAAAAAGGGTCAGTACGATATACTTAATCAAGACTTACGGTTCAGTTCCCTTCCGAAATTACTGTTACTCTAAGTTTTACTCTAGGTTTCGGACTTCCGGTTGCGGGTTCTAGTATCGTCCTCTTGCTGAGGGAGAGTCCCAACAAAGGCCCACCATACGTTAAAGGCCCAGGGGAACGAGCCCAAGCAAAAGGGGATTCCGGTTCCTTTGTAAACATTGTTTAAACTAAGAAAGCACGCCGGTCTTCTTGGCATGTGCGTTCTCCTCGGAGGGTGGAGGGGGCGGGGGTGACTACATGTGCAGCTCGCGAATCATATGGCGTGTATAGCCTTTTCTCTTCGGGGGCTTTCCCAGGCAAGCACACTCGCGGCGAACGGTTTGCAAAATGCTTCCATGTACTTTTTGGGGGGTAAGCCAGGTAGTAAAACGCTTTGGCCGCATCACCAAGCATGTTGTTTATTTGGTTCTTGTTCCGTCGGGGTATCGTTCGAATCTGGAGTTCTGCGTGTCAAGCTGAAGTCGTACAGTTCGAAATCCAAAGCTTTGCGAAAGCAAGCCAAACCCAAACCAGCAAGCTTGGGATGTTCCTCTTATGCTAGCAGTCGATTCTAATCCCTATTAGGGATTGTTAGTATAAGGGTTAACATCCCAACTGTTGAGCAAGCAGTCTTGAAAATCTCGACTGGCTCAGCATACAAACCCGACACCCAGAGCCGTCACAGAGAGCGCGTTGTGCATTTTGGTTGCTGGGTCGTGGTGTGAACCTAGTGAAAGCCCGGCTCAGCACTGCCATCCCGGTTTCCTCTTTTGTAAAATTGGCAAGGCATAGTTGCAACCTCCAGGGCTTAGGGATTAGGCAGGTGTTGCCGGCAGCCTCCTCAGTCCGTGCGTAAAAAACAGGATTAGCCTTTTTGGGCAACTAAGGCAATATGGGGGTTTCCGAAATTTGGGGTACCTTGTTGGGGCCCTTTTTATCTAAGGGAATCCTATCATCCGGGGCGGCTACTTTAGGGGTCCCCTAGTTTCGTAAAACCCCATATATGGGAAAGAGAGCTTCGGGGGGCAGCCTCGATGTGTCAGGTACTGGAATCTGCACGCAGAGTGCGACTACATGCTGCTCCTAGGACCCCCATGCTAATGTGAAGGTTTTGGGGGGTTATAGGGTTTGGGAGTGAAGGTTTTGGGGAGTTATAGGGTTTGGGAGTGAAGGTTTTGGGGGGTTACGGGGTTTGCGGGGTTTGCAGCGTTTAGGGTTTGGGGTTTAGGGTGCCAGGCGGGTGTGTGTATGGGTGGTTTCATGAAATAGTCCGTCGTAGGGCAGCCAAAGCACGAAATCCTGCAGGTTTGTCAGGGGTACCTTGTTTTGGGGAACAGCACCTCGAAACCCGGAAATGTTTGGGTCGGCACTAGGGGGCTTTCCAGCAGGTTGAAACGATTGGTTTTCGATGGCCGTGCACTTGAATCATCTGCTGGTTGATCTTGCTCACATGCTTGATGCTGAACCTTTTCTTGGGAGCACAGGGGGGCACCTGTGCCTGGGTGAGCCAGTAGATGCCACCCGGATTCTGTCATGAAACTCCCCAGACTCCACATAAGAGGTACTCTCTCCCTTCATTTGGGTTGGCCAAAATCAGAGGCCCCGTAGTTGTCGTCCGAACCGCACACAGGGCCCCCTAAAGGGGCTGTGTTCTTTTTTTTGGTTAGCGCTGGCGAGAGTTGGTCCCGATGAGGTGCTGTTGTTGTTTCCGAGTTCCAATCTTGTTTTTACCTTTGCTAGTAGGAAAACCATAAATCCTAAACCCTTTCAGCCATTCCGAATTCTAATCTTTTTACTCTTTTTCCTTTTGTTAGTATGAAAACCCTAAATCCTAAACCCCATACGTCATTAAGCCCTCAAGCCCCCGCGAAAGGAGGATGGGGCGTCAGCCACTGCTCCTTCCCAAAGATTCGGGAGCTCAAGAGCCACCGATGGCAGCATAAGAGGCCCAGAGTTGATTGTGGGGAGAAGTCATCCCTTTAAGGATTGAGGGCTCAGGGTTCGGGTTCAGGGTTTAGGGTTTAGCAGGAGGAATGGGAAGAGAAATGCTTAAGCCGGAAGGCGCGCAGCAACCTTACCGGGAAGGTTGTTTGGCCGCATGGTTTTGGCTACTTCCTTTTTGACAGCATGTTGTGCTTTATGGCTTGGGCTTTCGGATTTAAAAGTTGCATTATGTAGGCTTTTGAGTTCAGGCCATGCGTGCAGGCTAACTTAATTGGCAGGCGGCTCTTCGTAACACTCGGCTGCATCAAAAGATCACAAAGCAAATTTCCTGGCATTCGTCACATCTCCTTTATCGGGATCTGAGACGAGCCTGTTTGCAACCTCCTTCGCAACATCCCGGCACTATGACTTACGCAAGCCGTCTACATGGGCACGTAGATATGCGCTCCCATCCATGCTGAGCCGGTACTTTCATTGCCCATTTCACTAGACTTAGGCTGGAAGACCATCTACCGGGACTCGGTGTTCTGGCATTTGCTTGTGACTTAAGTTTGGATTTGTTCTTGGCCAGGCTTGCCCAAAAGCGAAGCAGGAAGCACAGTCTGAGTTTAAAGAACCTTGGCCACCCCCAAAACCTGGCACTTGACCAAAAGAATCAGGGGCCGTGCCCGTGTGAACCCTGTAGGCCACTTCCCACGGAGTTCAAGCACGGGCAGAAGTTGGCGGCTACTAGACAGTCAAAGCAGCGTTTTCGTTTCTTACTATGATGAATATAGTATATATATATATGTATAAGCATATTTGTACAGTTTTTCCATAATGTTTTCATACATGCTTATTCATCATCTTATTGGATTTTAAATACATCAACCTGTCAATCTGATTTTGATTGCGAGTTGGCTCGTGGGGATGCAGAGAGGGGGCTTAAGTCACAGCTGCCCAGCACAAGATCTTGCCGAGGCCAGTTGTTGGAGCGAGCGGTACGAAGCCATGCGACTGGGCCGGCGCAACAACGAGGCAGTGGGGTTTAGGGTTTGGGATGTAAGTCGATGGAAAATGTCATCGTGCCAGCTATCGTGCGGAGGCTGGGTTCAAAGGGGTGTAGGCTTCGCACCAGGGTGGTTGACAATCATGCAGGGGATATTTCCTTCGTGAGGCGCTTTTCTCCGTGTTGCCAGGCATCTAAACGTGCCTGTTGCTCAAAACCTAAACTCCAGACTACAGACCCCAAGCACTTCATATCCCACCAAGCCAAACAACCCTTGGACCCTAAAGCCAAAACGGCATCCTATCTGCACTGCACAGGTGTCGACATGCGTCAACGGTGGCTCGGTTAAATCAAAAGCTTCGGTGCGCTTTCCTGGGGACCATGCGGCCAGCTCTCCAAGACCAGGGTCCCCTTTTGGGGTTTCCTGTCATCATGACCTCTGTCTCAAGAACAACCTTCAAGAACAATTACGTATATTTTGCAAAAAAGGCATGTATATATATATATATATACATATATAGATATGCACGAGTGTATAAACATAATACTTGTAAGCCAAACGCCTGGGTCTGCCATTGCCAATGAGGGTGCCTAGGAAGGGACGCGTAATTTCGAGACCTGCACATGTGCCTTGGCGGCCCCATCCTTGCAAAGCAGCCAGGTAGCTCCCCCCCCGCCCTTGCTTCGGATGGCCCCAAAAACCTGAGATGGGTGTGTTCTCTTGAGACTCCTACGCCCGCGCGTGAAGTTCAGAGAGCTCTCAGGCCCCGGGGGCCCCGAACCCCCGCAACATGTGTAGAGGTCAATGGTTCAGCTCCAGCGGGCTCCCTGGCTTCGGGGATTTTGGCTGCCTCCCGTGTGTGCAGGCGGGAGATCCGATGCCCCGCCCCCCCCCCGCCCCCCCCTCCAAATTCGTGTGCAACATAGTCAAATGCCATGTCTTGATGATGCTGTCTTCTGGGGGATTGCGGCCGTCGAGGGGGTTCTTCAACGGGATGCGAATAGCGAAGGAGCCGAAGCCTCGTAGAACCACTCTAGGTGCAGTTCTAACGTGTGGATGCCCTGCTTGGGAAGCTTGACTGTTTATGTTGCGACTGTTGGTGCAGATCCTTCCTTTGCCGGCCTGGTGAGCCGGTGATTGCGCAGGGTTCCCGTAGAGGGCCATGAGTCAGACCGCCGGGCCGAATCCTTGCCTGCCTTAAGGTGCGAGTGTGAGAGCCGAAAACAAACGGAAGCCTAAACCCCAAAACAAGCAAAACCACTAGTAGCGCCCCTGTCGCTCGATTCGCTTCAGGTCCTTTTGAGGGGTCATCAGCCGAAGGGCTTCTTGCGGAACGGAATTCTCAGAAGGAATGCTGCATCCTGGTTGCTCCGGTCGATCCTGGTTGTCAATGTTGTTACGCAGGTCTGAGCCCGCGAACATTAGGGTTTCGACAGGAGCCGTGGTCGTCGTTAGGCTGCGCGAAGTGCGTGACACGGCGGGCCGCGCTTGCACCTGTGAGGTTGGCACGAAAGGCTTCGCAGACGTGGAGGACAAGAGACAGCAGGACCCTTGCAGTTTCGGAGCGCTTTTAGTGGCTTGGGCACAGAGATAAGGCGGAACAACATGCACTCTGATACAAAGATGTGAGACAAGCGCCTTGCAACACCCTCAGTTTTGACCCTCACACCCGAAACTTCGGCCACCAGGCCATGCAGTCGAGCCATTTGCAGGAGCTGTACTTCTTCAACAAGCTCTCCCTTCAGCTGCACAGTGAGGCCATGCTTGCAGTACCTCGCGTAGGTTTTTACATGCGAGCGCATCCCCTGAGCTTGAACACGCAGAAGCAATTTGATGCTTCCTTCAGACAGAGCCAAGACAAACCAGGTGAATCCCATCTCCGACGCTGCCGTGAACTGCCTCGAGCCGGTGAGGCCTGCACCCGTGGTCGAGACCGTGCTGCCGGAGGACACCAACAAAGAAGACTGTTAAGCAGGGGTTGTCCTCTCCGGGCTCCAACTTGTTTGGAGTTCTGCTAAGGAAGCGAGCTCTTCTAAGATATCTTTGCGAAAGCGAAAATACATTCCACCTTGTTTGGCCTTTTGCCACTCAGTGAAAGCTCTGCAGGCGTCCAGGTGTGTTCTTCGACACATTTCCTCTGTCTGAAATCTGGCTTGACGACTTCCTGAAGGCCTTGCGGTGCCTTCTCGAACCGGAGTAACCCTAAACCCAGAGGCGGGTGGGAACCAAAGCCCTCAACCTGTGACGCCGCCATGTCCCTATAAGTGCATGAGCCCCCCCCCCCCCCCCCCCCCCCCCCCCCCCCCCAAAGCAATCGGGACCAGGAGCTGACGAAGACGCTGACCTTCGACCTCCTAGGCCGGGTTTCAAAAAGCACATGGGTTCTTGCCAGGGAATGAGCGGACTAGGTACCCAGGGGTCCACGAAAGTCTGCAAAAAGTCTCGACGCGCTGAACTCTAACCTGATCCTCACTACTTGGAGGCTCATAGGTACTTATAACCCCTACTATAGGTTAGGGGGCTTATAAGTACAGTTAAAATTGGGGTCCTAAGTACCCTGAACCTCCAAGTACAGGACACGACTTCGAGCTGAAGCCAGACGTCATGGGCGACGAAGCGCTGTGGCACAAGGCTGTCGGCCACGACTCCCTGAATGCCTTAACAAACCGTCCCTCACGCTCGAGCTCGGTCAGTCTTGACACGCCCCAAGGCATGTAGCCCCAGCTCAGGCGAACTGTCAACGAGCTTGCCCATGTAGCTTCTAACTAAATCACTAAACATCACACTCTAAGCCCTGCAGATAAACCCCAAAGAAGAGTCGTAACACGCCATAAACCCTAAACCCTAAGCCAGAAGCCCGAAACCCTAAACCTTAAACCCTAAACCCCAAACCCCGAACCCTAAACCCTAAACCCTAAACCCCAAACCTAGGGTTTGGGGTTTAGGGTTTAGGGTTTAGGGTTGAGCCATTCCCCGCTCGAATTGAAGGCGGGGCAGATCCCCCGCAAGAAGTTCAAGACGCCGAGCAGCAATGTGGGTGCGAAGGCGGCTTGGTCCCGAGGACTTAGGGTTGAGGGTTTAGGGGGGGTTTGGGGGGGGTTTAGGGGGTTTAGGGGGTTTTGGGGGGTTTTGGGGGGTTTTGGGGGGTTTTTGGGGGTTTAGGGGGTTTAGGGGGTTTAGCAAAAAGCAACCAAGAGTTTAAGCCTTTCAGGGTTCAGGGCCTGCAGGGCTTAGCGTCTACAGGGTTCCCAAAGGGTTTTGGGCTTACAGTTTAGGGGTTTAGGGTTTGGAGCTTACAAAGTTTAGGGTTCAGGCGGGTTTAGGGAAGCTTTGAGGCTTTAAGCTTGGGTTGCAGTGTTATAAGGAATGTGCACATGAGGTGCCATAGAACGCTAATAGTGAAGAATCTAGTTTCCTGACTACGATAACGTCGCTTAGAAGGTATTTTGCAACCCTTATAAACCCTGAACCCTAAACCTCTCTTTCATACATTATTAAATGCTAATGAGTTCGCCGGCAAATGTCAAAGCCGCACCGGCAATTGTCAGAAGTTCGCCGGCAATTGCAAGAAACAACAATTGCCGACGCACTTTTCACATGCGCCGGCGAACGCTTGACATTTGCCGGCGAACGAACGTTTACCAATTGCCGGCCAACTTTTGACATCTGCCGGGGCAAATGTCAAAAGTTGGCCGGCAAATGTCAAAAGGTCGTCGGCAATTGCTTTTTGCAATTGCCTGGGGCACAGGGTTTAGGGCCCTATAGGGTTTGGGGCATGGGGTTTAGGGCCCTAAGGTTTGGGGCATAGGGTTCAGGACGCTGAGATTTTGGGGCATAGGTTTGGGGCCCTCGATTTTGGGGCATAGAATTAAGGACACTAGGGTTTGGGGCATAGGGTTCAGGGTTTTGCCACATACGATTGTTTTGCCTAGTTGTCTGTTCAAAATTAAGAACATCCCAGAGTTATTGGATCCAAAGGGATTCGATACCAGAGTAACGAGCTTAACTAGTGAATGCTTGGACTTGAGATGCTGAAGCCTGAACCCTGAACCCTTTACCCTGAGCCCGAAGCCCTAAGCCCCAAACCCTAAACCCTAAACCCTGAACCCTGACCAAAACGTGTCTATCTCCGTTTTGGCCCATGGCTTCTTTGCGTTCAGGGAGGTTCGCTGCTTCAGCGCTCGCACTGTGGAGTGCGCAAGGGCCAGAGGGTTCAAGCCTTGTCTTTAGGGTTTAGGGTTTAGGGTTTAGGGTTTAGGGTTTAGGGTTTAGGGTTTAGGGTTTACACTTATGGTCTTGCGATTGTAGTCTTGCGTGCCAGCTTTGGTCAACGTGTGCTTAACGCTTGCTGAACCCACGAGTGCACTTATGAAGATGCGTGGACACGAACGGCTCAGCATCTCCAGGCGAGACTGGGCAAAGCGTGCTCCACAGGGGTCTGTAGGGGTTAGGGTTTATCAGGGTTTATGGGTTAACAAGGGTTCTTAGGCTTAAAGGGGTTTATAGGGTAGGGTTTAGGGCTTAGTTTCGTAGGAAGTGACAAAGGAGCCGTGCGTTTGACGGTTTGACACGGCTGAACTGGCGTGAATGGGACGCTAGCTGATGCAAAATAGACCAAAAACCCTAAAATCCTGGAAACCCTCAACCCTAAACCCTACCCCTGAACCCCAAAAAACCTAAACTTTGAACAGAGCCGCCAGTACGCACGTCTTGGAATTTGAGGCGAAGAGGAAGAAGCCGCTCACCAACTCCCCGAAGACCTCCGGACAGGACGCTGCGTTGCCCTGGTTGCCCTGTGAATTGATTGTAGGGTCCAGGGGGTAGGCAACCCAAGGATCCCTAAAAAGAACCCACTACCGCCTAAGCTTCCGGAAGGTTTCCTAGGTAAGGACCCTTGAAACGGAGCCTAAACGCCCAGTTAAGGTTCGAGGGCCGGGTTGATGAGAGAGGGAAGGTCCCGCCAAGCCAGGTCGTTGGCGTCAGGCGCATAGGACACCTGGCGGTTTCGTGTTTTTTTTTTTAATCGCTCTCTCTCTCTCTCTTTCTCTCTTTCTCTCTTTCTCTCTTTCTCTTTCTCTCTTGCATTTTCAGGACATGTCGGATGATTCCGTTGGGGTGGGGTGGGTGATACTGATCTTGGGCACTCGCAGAGCCTCGGGAGCCCAGGGCCTACTTGAAGGTTCGTGGGGGTAGTTCTAAGTAGGGTTTATGAGTACCCTGTAGAGTTCCCAGAGTTCGAGCCCTTCTTATCAACTACTCATAAACCTCCCACTAGGGCTCCTGGTGCTCTGTAGCATCTCCAAATTTGCAGGCCAACACCTGCATCGCTGCCAAGAAATGCACTGGTTGGACTTGTGGCTTGGGGCACCTTGGCACCGGCACTGTTGGGGGTACTGGAGCCTTACCATGGTGTGACATGACCTCCTATCCCTCTATGCTTGCACTCCTACCTGCCTAAGGGACCGCTACTGGGAAGTGTGGCTTGGCGCTGCTTTTGTTTTTTTTTTGGCCGGCTGCTCTTGCTGTTTCCTGTTCTTGGAATGCAGCCCGCAGACGAGAGCATGACTCGGGCATCCGAACAGCGAGCCCCCGAAAGGAATCTCTGCAATCTCGAGCCATGTCGGAGCTTCGTCTTGCCTTCACTTGCTCCGGTCCAGAGAAGTCTTTCTCACATCGACTGAGCGGCTATGCATCTTCCATGTTGTGGCAGTTTTAGAGATTTTTTTAGAGATCTTCATCTGCAGACTTCAGAAGATGTGTGGAGAGATGCCCACCGCCACCACACACTCAGGCACAGCTGTAGTGGTGGCTGTTAGAAGTACACACGAAACGAGTGTCAAGAAGTGGTCGCCTTCTTCTCTGAGGGATTTGAAAAACACGTACAGCGTGGCGGCCCTGGAGTTCACGGTGGGCAACGATGCCTTGAAGGAGGGGGGGGGGGGGGAGATTTTTTACAGGGGTTTGCACGGCCAGGGTACTCGCGCTTGCCTCGAGAATCGGCTCTCTGTATGGTTTTGTTGCCTACCAGTAAACGCAATGGAGTTGCAAAGGTGTTGCATTGGACGCTGGGGTTCGGGCTTATGAGGGTTGACTTTTCAAGCACATTGCTCCATCCCCCAAGTACCCTGCAGAGCGAGCTTACAGTGAGGGGGCTCCTGGGAAGAGACGGGCATCAGGACGTTTCCATCTCGGAGCCTTGCCTTAAAGCCAGTGGTCTACGAATCTCGGAGATGGTAGTTACAGGACTTGTCGGTTCGTCTATGGGATGGGAGTTGATCATGCTACAAGCCCTCTTGGGGTACCCTCAGCTCATCAGGAACCTACCACACAAGAGGCCCACCACAAGGGCACCATAAGGATCAGCCCCTCATTCAGTGTGCGCTCTGTGTGTATGTGTGTGGGTGTTGTGTGTTGTGTGTTGTGTGTTGTGTGTTGTGTGTTGTGTGTTGTGTGTTGTGTGTTGTGTGTTGTGTGTTGTGTGTTGTGTGTTGTGTGTTGTGTGTTGTGTGTTGTGTGTTGTGTGTTGGGTGTTGTGTGTTGTGTGTTGCGTCTTGCGTCTTGCGTCTTGCGTTTTGTGCGTTGTGTCTTGTGCGTTGTGTCTTTTGTCTCGTGTCTTGTGTGTTGTGTGTGGACGCACGAGGCACCATGTGAGGCATCGGAGGGGCCATTCCGACAGGGCCTTTTTTTGTGCGCCATCTGGTGGCTTCTCAGGTCCAGTGGCGGACCTGTGCGAAGCACGTCACCATTGGAGAGGGTGAGACCAAGCGTGTTCGATGTGCCTCGGCCTCGAAAGGACGGCAGGCCCAGTGGAAGTTTCCGAAGCCCCAAACACACTGATGGACTGCCTGAGAGAAGGGGTAGTAGAGGGGTCAGAATAATTTCTAATCGTATTCCCTTACTTAATATACTACAATAACCCCCAAAACCCTATTCTAATCCTTCCCTAAACCCTAAACCCTAAACCCTAAACC